GTAAAATGAATTTGGAAGATCATTTCAAAGCATATAACGATACATATATATTTCGTTTGTATATAGAGTGGGTCATAAAGCTGTTATCCGGTTTATAGTTGAATATATTTTATTTTTATGAAAAATCAAAGAATGCATTGGTTAATAACATATGATCTGGAAATGGAACATTTGAATGTAAGAATACAATACCAAATATTCCTATTTCTGCTCAAAAGGAAAGATTAAAGTATTGTTTTGGTAAAAAAAATACCTTTATGACCTATATCCGTGTAGAATGTAGTGTCTTCTTATTGCATCCATCCATTATAAAAAAACACCAATCATATCATTAATCCCTTCACAAATAGAAAAAACCGCTCAAGCCAACCTCCATAATTCAGGGCTACATCCTTTTATTCTTCAAACCTTTATTACATGTCAGTATCCAGCTATATCCTACCGCAAATTTCCACATAAAGACAAAAAATTCACGTTTCCACTTTATACGTTTAGGAAATTCATTTTGTGTGGCCAGCGATCGCTTGATGGCAGCAACGGCAATGATGCGTATGGGACAAACAGTCGTGGGCAAGAATGCAACCGGTGAGGGTATGGATATGTTGGAGTATCCATTCTTAACCATGACAAAATATCCACCTGGACTTATATTACATATTGGAGCTACGGTAGCTGCCCGTTCGGTCAAGTTATTGGAACGTGTACCAAATCCGGATGAACCTGAAATACGAGATTCTTGGTGGACTGAGTTGCGTATGGAGATACGTTCACATGCCCGTTCGCTGGGCTGTAATGTAGTACTTGGCTATTCGGAATCGACCACAATTTCGTAAGTAAATTCCGCTTTTTTTGGAAATCATAATCTTAAATATTCTTTGTGACATTTAAGTGATGACGTATGCGTCCTTTCGGCAACTGGCACAGCAGCTATTATCAATATGGGCTACAATCGTTCTATATCTCAAAGCGATATTTTCAATATTGCCAAGCCCTCCGGGGGCAGTGTTATGTCTGCCTCTCTTGAGGAACGAAATATGGGCAGCAGCGAGGTTTCTGGCAAAGATTCGGGTACCATTTCAAATGGTTCCGCTGGAAAGAGATATGGTTTTCCCTCAATCATGTTAACCCCCAAAACTTCATGCACAATTTGCCATGTTCCCTATAATGCCAACTCCATGCCGTTTAGTGTTAAAATGAAGAAATGTGCAATATGCGGCAAAGGTCGGGTTCCCGATGTGCTACTGGCTACCTTAGAGGTACCAGATTGTATACAAGTTACAGGTATGAAAACCCCATAATTACATCCACCACGAAATTCAGGAAAACCTTATCTTCCAATAGGGCGAGGTTGTTTCCTACAGGCTCAAGTTGTACGAGCCAAAAAGGATTTACGTTCCGAATCCAATGCAAAGGAGATATCTGATGGTCTGCCTTTTCTGGAGTATGAACTACATCGTGTACTCATCAACAAGCTTAAGGCAAAGGGCATGAATGCAATATTCGGTTTAAGAGTACAAGTTTCGATTGGCGAACGTATGCTTGCCCTGGTTGCCACGGGTACAGCTCTGTTTATCACAGCCCTACCAGTACCACAAGTTCCGAAAATAGTTGCAGGCAATTCTTGGACGGACAAACAGAAACTAAACGAACTGCAAAAGAAATTGCAAGAGACCTTTGAGCGTTATCAGGACATATATCAATTGAAACCATTGGATCAAGAAATGTTGGATAAAAGTTCCGACACAGATGAATCCGATGAAGAGGGCGTCGATATCGATTTGAATTGCGGCAATAAAGATACATGTGTTCTTGAAGTAGATGATATCGAAGATTTAGAGATTATTTCGTTGCTAATGGAACAGCAGCCACCGGAAGGATTTCATGTTGTGAGCACTGAAAAGGTGCCGGGCATGATGGACATGGAGGCGGTAAAAAATTTACAAATGTTCACACAGGTGTGGAGGGCCAAGGCGGATGGTGGTCAGAGTGTTAGTGGATTTCCAAAGCATTTTCAAAGGTAAGCAAAAATTTTGATAGAATTTTATGTTGTAATCGATATTGTTCCCTTATAAAAAATGCGTTATCGATAACTTGCCTGTAGACATTTTCTGTTATATTTTGATAACAGCCACTTCTGTGCAAAAAAGTTGTTATCGACAACTATATAAAAGTTGTTATCGACAACTATATAAAAGTTGTTATCGACAACTATATAAAAGTTGTTATCGACAACTTTTCGTTATAGAAAAGTTGTTATCGACAACTTTTCGTTATAGAAAAGTTGTTATCGACAACTTTTCGTTATAGAAAAGTTGTTATCGACAACTTTTCGTTATAGAAAAGTTGTTATCGACAACTTTTCGTTATAGAAAAGTTGTTATCGACAACTTTTCGTTATAGAAAAGTTGTTATCGACAACTTGTCGTTATAGAAAAGTTGTTATCGACTACTTTTCGTTATAGAAAAGTTGTTATCGACAACTTTTCGTTATAGAAAAGTTGTTATCGACAACTTTTCGTTATAGAAAAGTTGTTATCGACTACTTTTCGTTATAGAAAAGTTGTTATCGACTACTTTTCGTTATAGAAAAGTTGTTATCGACTACTTTTCGTTATAGAAAAGTTGTTATCGACTACTTTTCGTTACAGTTACAATTTTTTTACAGAAAAGTTGTTATCGACAACTTTTCGTTGCAGAAAAGTTGTTATCGACAACTTTCGTTGCAGAAAAGTTGTTAACGACAACTTTTCGTTGCAGAAAAGTTGTTATCGACATCTGTTCGTTATATTCGACAACTTTTCGTTATGAAAAGTTGTTGTCGACAACTTTTCGCTATAGAAAAATGGTTATCGACAACTTTTCGTTATAGGAAAGTTGTTATCGACATCTGTTCGCTATAGAAAAGTTGTTGTCGACAACATTTCGTTATAGAAAAGTTGTTATCGGCAACTTTTCGTTATAGAAAAGTTGTTATCGGCAACTTTTCGTAATAGAAAATATGTTATCGACAATTTTTTTTACAGAAAAGTTGTTATCGACAGTTTTTCTTCACAGAAAAGTTTAAGTTGTTATCGACATCTCTTCGCTATATTTAAGTTGTTATCGACTACTTTTCGTTATAGAAGAATTGTTATCGATAATTTTTCTTTACAGAAAAGTTGTTATCGACAACTTTTCGTTGCAGAGAAGTTGTCATCGACATATTTTTCTTTTATATAGAATAGTGGTTATCGAAAACCTTTCGATATAGATATAGTTATTATCAACACCTTTTATTTTAACGGTATTTTTTTATTTATTTTTTGCTTTAAAGACTTTTGCAGACAATATATTTCAAATTGCGTACCATGATTCCCTGTGCCATTTGTGATTTAAGATTTAAACTGGATTTTCCAGAGAGTGTAAGTGCCACGCCAATATTAATAAATTTATTGTTCTAAACATATTTTTTTAATATTATTATTTTATTTTAGGATCAAATTCAAATTTTAGTAACCGGTATGGCATTGGGTTTGGGTGATCCTAGTAAAGCCAAACCACGACGTAAAACAGTATCAAATGGCCAGATGGTGGATGGTGCGGCAAATGCTATGTCAGTTTTACAACAGCCACACAATCATCAAACTATTGATCAAAAATCGACTTGTGATGAGGATTATATATTCCCATTGGATGAGGACCAAATGGTGGAGACACCAACACCAGCCACAAATATACCAATGTTCGGTGCGCAGCTTTTTAAGAATCGCAAAACTTCTCCCATACAGTTGACGACGACTCCGGGGGCACTTAAACAAAGATTTGTATGTACAAATAACAAAAAGAGATATGTATATTTTTTTAATTCCACATTTTCTTATAGAACCGTATGTGTGATCGCAATGGCGTGGATATTACGCCTATGACATTTATACCCGGCGGAAAAATTGAAAAATATTTGGGAAATTTAAATTTCTTCTTTATACGCGAGAGTACATCTATAAGAGAAAACGGTGGCATAAGTGGTTTTGTACATGGCTTTATAACAGAGGTATTAAAGTAGAATTATAATTTACCTTATATCTATTTATAAAATTGCTTTAAACTTGTAGCTCTTGGCTGTAGTACGAGCCCACATTGCTTCATTGGGTGGCAATGCTATGGTTTCATATTATATAAATGAATTAATTTTATTCGATAATCAGCATAAAAATCAGGTACTTTTTTTTAGAAATTTAACAAAGAGACACTACTAAAAAATTGACTTCTATTTTAGGGCCAATGCCTAATAAGCATTGGTGGTGACGCTGTGTATGTCTCATATCAAAATGATGAGTGATTTTGCTGGAAAAAATGCTGAAAACTACGTCAATCATCACAATCAAACCCAATAAACAGATTTCCCGCAGTTATGCAGAATTTTGCAATATTTACTTATATAGTTAGTTTGTTTCTCTCTCTCTCTTTCTCTCTATTTAAAATCTGTAACTTGTCTCTCTATTTTTTTACTTTATTTATTAACACTTTTAATTAAAAAAAAAAAACTTTTTTGTTATAAATACTATACGAACATGCATTGAATGGCATAATACTATACTAAACTGTGACTATACATAGAATGTACTTAAAATGGTGCATTAACAAAAGTAAACAATTTATATATTATTTATTATATTTTATTTTTTTTTTCACTGAAACTATGAGTTTCCAATAGATAGTATAAAATGCGTGTTATTTTCTTTATCATTTGTGAGTCATTGTAGCCCCTCGGGATTTGGCAATAAAAAAGCAGCCCAATTTTATTTGAAATTATAATGTGTGGAAATTTAATAAAATCTATCTTTGAATGTGTAGGGGCGAAAGACAATGATAAAGCTTCAATGCCCTCACATTGAGTGCGAATTACTGACAATGACGACAAACGCTGACGTTGTAATTGTGTTTACACTTCTCATAACCGAATACCCCCTTTGTTTGTTACTTGATGATGATGTCATAGTCAAGTGAATGTCATTCTAAATAAGAAGAAGAGTAGTGAGTAATGTTTTTCTTTATGTTATGATCAGAGAACTCCGTTGTAAAATAATTTTTTAGATTTTCCAAATAATTTTATTCCCAATAAGTATAAACTAAAACCCGACTTACAAACATGGATTGGCTATTCGGTAAGAAAATCTCACCCGATGAGATGTTGCGAAAAAATCAAAGGGCCCTCAACAAGGCAATGCGAGACTTGGACAGGGAGCGTATGAAAATGGAGCAGCAGGAAAAGAAAATCATTGCCGACATCAAGAAAATGGCCAAAGAAGGTCAAATGGATGCCGTCAAAATTATGGCCAAGGATTTGGTGCGCACAAGACGTTATGTGAAAAAATTCATGTTGATGAAAGCGAACATACAGGCTGTGTCATTAAAGATACAAACTTTAAAATCTCAAAACACAATGGCTGAAGCCATGAAGGGTAAGAGGGGAACGATGAGCCTGCATTGATCTTTACTAACCTGTTACAACATTTTTGTGTTATTCCAGGTGTTACCAAAGCCATGCAGAACATGAATCGTCAAATGAATTTACCTCAAATACAGAAGATTTTACACGACTTTGAAAAACAATCCGAAATAATGGACATGAAGGAGGAAATGATTAATGATGCCATGGATGATGCAATGGAGGCGGAAGGCGATGAAGAAGAGACCGATGCTGTTGTTGCCCAAGTATTGGACGAGCTGGGCTTGCAATTGGGTGAACAGCTAGGAGATTTACCCACCGCTTCTGGTTCACTTTCCATTGCTGGCGGCAGCAAAACAACTCCCACAGCTATTGCTGCAGGTGCAGCTGGCGGCCCTACCAGTTCCGGTGGTAATGGTGGTGCCACTGGTGGTAGTGGCGGCTCAACGCCTATGTCCGGTGCAGATGCCGACTTACAGGCCCGTTTGGACAAATTGAGACGGGACTAAAAAATATTTGTCATTAATTTTTATCTGTATTTTTTTTTATAGTTTTTTTTGTGTATCTTATCAACTTGATATCGCCCATCAGCATGTAATTAAAATGAAAGCTAAATATAAGGCAACTTTAAAACTGACTTCTTTGGTTTCTCGAAAAATCTCGTCTGGCAATTAAAAAGACAATTTTCAATTGATAATAGAGCATTGAGCTTAGCATTAATTTTATTCTTTTAAATCCACAATAATTTCACTCGATAAATAATTGTTACCGTCTCCATTACGTTTGAACTAACATTAAATATTACAAGGACACAAAATCTAAGCAAATCGGCAATAATTAAACAGATATACAACGTCATGCAGGTATGTAGCGACACGAAACGTTGCCTGCACAAAATTAAAAGCCACTTTGTACAAACACCTCTTCCACTTTAGAGAATACTTCATCGGACGAGGGACTGGCGTCGATTTGTTTAACCTTGCCAAGTTCTTCGAAATGCTTTATTATGGGCAGGGAATCATTGTTGTAGGTTTGGATGCGCTTCTTCAAACTTTCCATGTTATCATCCGAACGTCCCGAACCACTCTTTCCTCTGCTCAGGCAACGGTCGACGCACACGTCTTCGGAACAATTAAAGAAGAGCACAAATTGGAAATCGACCTTTTCGGACATTTGGCGATTCCAGCCATCCAAATTATCTTGGTTGCGAGGGAAACCATCAATGAGGAACTTGTTTTTATCTGATTTATTCATTGCAGCCTCCAAAAGTGAACACGTCACCTCTACCGGTACAATCTTTCCATTGCGTATATAATCTTCAATCAGTGCACCAACTTCAGAACCTTCACGAGCCCTTTCCTCCCTCAACAAATCACCAGCCGAGAGATGGACAAAACCGAAACGGTCTACAATTTTTGCACACTGTGTACCTTTACCAGCGCCTGGACCACCCAATACAAATACAATTTTTGGTTTTTCTTCCGACATTTTTAATCTTGTTAATGCACCAGCTGCGATTGTACTGTAGAGGTTAACTGTAGTGCAGGTGGAATGTTTGATGGTTTGGGCTAGTAGTAGATTACACGACCTTGTGAGAACTTTAAACATCAAGGGTGAGAGAGCACGAGGATGATACGTATATACTTAATTTGTGTATATATAATGTTCCAAACACCTCACTACACTTCTACCCTATCGATAGACCGCAAATTAAATAATTGGCTATTACTGTGCTTCTTCTTATCTCTGCATTCACTACGCATGGTTGCCCCATGTACTTCGACAAATATCGATTTCACCAAACGATGGTGACGTATTTATGTCAGTGTCAGACTGGAATTAGTTTTTTTTTTTTTTTCGAACGTTCCCACGCCTCACATTCCCACCCCTGCCGACCGAGGGGGCGACCTCCCTTTACGGAGGGATCGCGTACACATCATGATCCGCCTCATAATAGGAAATTTAAAACCAGCTACAGAATTTAATTCATCAGCTAGTTTGTCAAATAATAAAACATGTATGTTAATTGTTTAAAAATAAAATTATTCTAGATTTAATAACTTCTAAACTCATACCAAAATCTACATCAGAATTAAAGTCAACATACATTTTACTAAGAGGTTCGCCCATTGAATAATTCGTGCGGTGAAAATCAGTATATAATAATTGGTAGTATCTACTAGATCTAAACGGAACATTAATTCTAATAGATGAAATCAGAAAATCTGAGGGTATATTACCATTTAATATTTTTAGTACAAACATGGAGTTCAACATAATACGTCTGCTTTTAAGTGTAGGCAATCTAATTAATTTTAGCCTGCTAGCATAAGAAGGCAAAACAAAATCACTATTCCAATGTAAACCTCGTAAGGCAAATAGCAGAAATTGTTTTTGCACGGATTCTATTTTATCTGAGTATATTGCATATTGAGGATCCCATACAACAGAACCGTATTCCAATATAGGTCTAACAAGAGACGTAAATAACTGTTTTGTTATATATGGATCAGAAAATTCTTTGGCCCACCGTTTAACAAAACCTAAAACACCATTTGCTTTATTTACCATTGTTATTACATGGCTATTAAAATTTAATTTTGGATCCATCAAGAGGCCAAGATCAACAAATGAATCTACAGTTGATAATGAATGACCGTCAATATTATATTTTAATATCAGAGAAGAAGATCTGGAGAAGCACATATGCTTACATTCGCTTAAATTTAACTCCATACAATTTAACGTGCACCATTTAAAAAGGCTATCTAAATCGTTTTGAAGTAAACTAGCTCGTTTATCACAATTATGGGAAATGAATAATTTAACATCATCTGCGTACATTAACAATTTCGAGTAATTTATGGAATTAGGTAAATCGTTGATAAATAAAAGAAAGAGGACCGGTCCAAGGTGACTTCCTTGCGGAACACCCGATGGAACGTTAATCGTTTTGGATAGATACCCTTCAAACAAAACTAGTTGTGATCTATTTTGTAAGTAAGATGATATCCATTTGACTAACAGTACGTTTATATATATGAGGGTTAACCCACTGGATTTGGATTTAAATTGTCATTTCAATTACTTTTACTTCAAATAAATCCTCTCAAAGTAGGTTAACCCTACAAAAAGTTCTAACGTAAACATGGCATAAGTTTGTGTTGAAACCCATATAATTTAATTTATATATTAGGAGTTCATGGTTAACCCTATCAAAAGCTTTACTAAAATCGGTATAAATTGTATCAGTTTGTTTACGCTGAACAAATCCTTCTATTACTGTTGACGTAAATTCTATAAGATTTGTTGTAGTTGAAAGACCACTACGAAAACCATGCTGATATGGACTCAATATAGATTGAATTTTCTGTGAAATTACTGCAGTAATTAATTTTTCAAACAATTTTGGTATGGCACTTAATTTTGCAATTCCTCTATAATTTGACACATTAGTAAGACTACCAGACTTATGTAAAGGTATAATATAAGATTTTTTCCAAAAAGTAGGAAAGTGACCAAATTTAAGTGAATAATTAAACAATATAGTTAACGGAAGTGCTAATGTTTCTGAACAATATTTAAGAATTATATTAGGTATGCCATCCGGTCCTGGACATTTAATCGATTTTAAACTACGCAGACTATTGGATACATCATGACGTTGTAGAAAAGGCATACAAATTTGATCAGCCTGTGATAACTTATAAGGATACGAGTCTTTAATTTGGCAAGATGTACTGGAATAGGTTGTGGCAAAAAAATCTGCGAAACATTCAGCAATATCTGTGCCTCTGACAAATTCTTTATTGTTATATTTCAATACTGAGGGCTTTGAGGAAACTTTTCGTTTTAGATTAACAAAATCATAAAAAGATTTAGGATTGGATTTAACATTATTTTTAATCTTGTCTAGGTAAAGATTATACAATCTACGAGACTCTAAAGTATATTTAGATCTAGCAACAGAGTAATTAGTGTAGTCTATTGTTAAGCCTGATTTTTTATATTTACGAAAAAGCTTATTTTTAGAATTTTTTAAACTTGATAACTCAGGGGTTATCCATGGATGTTTATTTGAATTTTTAACTCTAGTGGTTGGAACACATTCCAGTTTAAATCTATTTAAAATATCATAAAATTTATCAATTACATATTCTAAATCTGTATGGCTGTTACACAGGCACACAGAAGCCCAATTTATGGAGGAAATGAGGGTATTAAGTTTTCGAAAATTAGTTTTTTTGTAATTAAGGACTGTTTTAAATGAGTCGGACTGACTTTCTTCAATTACATAACTGTGAGTCATGGAGATATATAAAGTTGGATGGTATATATCTTCAGGAGTGCATATTGGAGGAATTCTGAATATATCAAAATGCTGTGTTATATTTACAAACGCCAAATCAAGAATTTTTCCGTGGGAATTTTTTACACTGTTTATTTGATAAAGATTTAAGTCACACAAACTATTTACAACATCAAATGTATACTGGGTACTGTTCATTTCAGATTGCAAAGGAATCAAAGCTTCAGAATCTGGCATTGGAAGCCATTTAATGGAGGGCATATTAAAATCACCAAGGATCAGAATGCGATCGGAATCTTTCATTTTTCAGTAATTAAATTTATTCCTGATAAATGCTGATTATAAATGTCAAGTGAAGATGAGGGGGGAATATAAGAGCAAGTTACAAACAATTTAGATTTGCCCAATTCAATGGAAACACAAACAAATTCTATATCAAGAAAATCATTTAGATCAATTAAATTAGTGGTATATTTGGTATCAACTGCAATAAGGACGCCACCACCTTTTTTACAAACACGATCTTTTCTAAATATTTGATATTTTGAACATAAAATTTCACTATTTAATATAGATGTTTACCAAAACAAGATAGATGTTTACCAAAACAAGATAACAAACTATAATAAATTATATTTTATTTAATTATTGGCATTTTTCCCAATACATTGTTTTACTCATGGTAGACGCTTCAACGCTTGGGAACATTGATATGCCAAAAAATTTAAATGTATTTTCAAACATAAATAGGTTTTTAAATGTTTTCTCATACGACGTCATTCGGAGGTTATTATAATCTGCTTTTTTAAACAATTTTTGAAAATTTAAATAATTTTTCGTTCAACATTTTCAATTTCAAAATTGGATTGACAGTTCATTGTCCCAGCAGCTGCGTCGATGCGTCTACCTATATTCTTCTACCATGGTTTTACTTCTAGGAAATAGGAAGTTTATTGTTGTGTTCTAGTCTTTTATTTTTCAACCCAAATTGGAATAGAAATTTTTATATAAAAATTAATAAAATTTGTATTTTTTTAAAGATATATTAGGACAACCTCCGATTTACTTTGTATAAGAAAACATATAAACATCCAGTTACTTTTACCAAAACAAAAGAAAAATTTTGACATATCAATATTCCCAATCGTTGTATTTTTTTCTGTATTTTTCTATCATGGGTAAATCTAAACACACAAGATTAACCCACTGGATGTAACAAGCCCAAGGGGCTAATCTTCAAAAGTATAAATGCGCTTTAAAATAATTTGGCAAGGTGGTAGAGGTAAAGTGGGACAGGGACATCGACCCCTAAGATTGAGAGAAATTCTCAGAGGTTGGTCCTAGCTGTATATCCACTAGGAAAAAAACTATTTCTAGGGGAAATATATATTTTGCATAAATGGTATGGCATTGAGTTTAGCTAAGATTTTTTTTATTTTCCTTCCTTTTTTGGGCATGTTTCATGTTTTTTTTATTAACCTCTAGTTTAATGTTTAAGACTGGTAAGAATTTTCAGTTTTCAAACATCTGAACAGTACCGTGTGTTCCTTTGTTTGCCTACAAGTTTTCCATATATGAGAACATTGTTCTGCAACTTTTGTGTGTGACCCTCATGTATCTATTTCGATTTCTGATGAAAACGATATATCGATATTGACGCAATAAATAAAGCATCGAACGTTTATCTCCTTTAGCCACACGTAAAATGATAACCCATATCTTAAACATCTGTTGCTGTGTTGTCGGCCGTTTTGTTTTGATTCCTTTTGTGTTGTCCGCCTTTCCCTTTTGATTCCATCTTTATTTCGATTTTCTCTCTGTGCTGTCTTTCTTTTCAATGTTGCCATATTGTAGTGTCCTTTGTTCATTAATTCTTTTTCTTTTCTCGGTGGCGTCGGTTGGTAATTCATTCAATTGATTTTAATTTATTAATTAATTATTTATTTTCGTATAAAAATTTATATATAAATAATTTAGAAACAAATAGAACAAATGTGTATATGTGTGATTTGAGATTGTGCGTGATTTAAAAGACTAAAAAAACAATAAACAAAACCCGACCGCCAACATAACCTCCAATTAATGGTCCATGGATAGAAAAGCCATATATGTGTCTCCAGCAACTCGAGAATATTTTGTATATGTTTATAATTTTGGTCTGAAATGAGTTTCCTAAAGCCGAAAGATGTAATAGACGAAGGAGATACTGTCATCCTGTATATAAGTGTAAATTCTATGCACGTCATAGAAGCTACCCCGACCATAGTTAATAAGAAAGGCGAAACTATTGAGCACATATTCCAAACCTCATTTGGAGCCCTGAAAGTACGAAACATCATCGGTGTAAAATATGGAAGTCGCGTCGAATTGTCTAAAGGCTATGCTTATGTACTGCTGCCCAATCCTGAACTATGGACACAGACACTGCCACATCGAACACAAATCATCTATACACCCGATATTAGTATGATACTACATCAACTTGAAGTGCGTCCAGGTTCGATTGTTATAGAGTCTGGAACAGGGTCGGGATCATTATCACATTATTTCCTAAGAGCCGTTAAGCCACATGGCCACCTGCACACATTCGATTTTCACGAAGCAAGGGCTAATCAAGCTCGAGATGAATTTAAACATCATGGACTGGGTGATTTTGTTACCGTCTATCACCGGGATGTTTGCGAAAATGGTTTCGGCGAAGAGTTAAACGGTAAAGCGGATGCTGTATTTTTGGATTTACCCGCACCTCAACTTGCTGTTCCCCATGCTTATAAAGCATTAAAAGATAGCGGTATAATTTTTACTTAAATCTAGCTATTCAACAGATATAGTAATGCATTTCTATTTCATTAAAGGTGGCCGTTTCTGTTCATTTTCTCCTTGTATAGAACAGTCACAACGTTGTTGTGCGGCTTTACAAGAACTCGGCTTTACGGAAATTCAATCATACGAAATTTTGCAACAAGAGGATGTTGTAAAGACAAAAACATTTCCCGTTATGAATTTGGAATTTCTCAAAACAGAGGTAAATGTTGTTTATTCAAAGCTACAAAGTTGCTTATTTAATTAATTTTCATTTTTGCTCTTATAGAAAGATACGTCTTCAAGTACGAAACAACCAAAAGAAACAATGAAAATTTTAACTTCATCGGCTCCTCCTACTCAGCCTGGCCATACAGGATTTTTAACGTTTGCAACTCTGCAACCAGCATTTCTTAGATAGTTTTTAATTGTACATGGTACAATTGTATTTAAATAAACAACAAATATAATTGTAATTGCAATGGCAAAAAAACATTCACTGATTTTACAGTGTTACCTAAAATCCGACGTACTCAGTCGAAGTTTTTCACCACCATACAAGTAAAACACAATTTACCCAAGTATATCGGACGTATGAAAGATACACACAATTCAAATTTAATAAAACCTTGGACGGATTCTTTTAAATTCTGAATGAAAAACAGTTTATTGTCACTTATACCTTAATAAATATACCTTTGATATGTGATGATTTGACAAAAACATAAGTTTTGTACATTGTAGAAAAATACAGGGTGAGATAAAAAAATTGCAACAAAGTCAAACGCTATAATTTTTACATTTTTTTAAATTCTATTATATGAAAGCAAAAATGTCGGAAATAGCATCAAATTTTAAAAATAAGTTTAGATTTTTTCGAATTGGTTACCTTTGGCACGAACTATGGCCTTTAAACGGCCAATGAAACCGTCACAGGCTGCCCGAATTTTGCTCTGCGGTATATTCGCCCATTTCCGGTGAAGCGTTTGCTTGAGGTGATCGATACTTTGTCATTTTTTAGTGCCAACCTTGCTTTCCGAAAAATACTCGAGACACAATAGTCCAACGGATTGGTATCCGGAGGTTTTGGTGGCCATTATGCGCTGGAAATGAAGAGAGGGAAAAATCTTTGCGTGCCCAAGGCTTTAATACACCCTCCAGAGTATTTTCGCCATAATATTCGGCATTTATTCTGATGCCACGGTTAATATGAACGGAGAGCGACCATTGACTGTTATAGCGGCCCACACCATCACCATGGCCGGCGCTTGAGTTCTGGTGGCCAACCGAAGGTGCATATTTTCAGCTGACCTCTTTGGTTTACAAACTGCAGGACAACGAAAACAAAAAAAAAAAAACATTGGAGAAAACCAAATTCGGCAGTTCACCACTTTCGGCCAAGCAAAGCGAATTTTTTAGCTCTTTTGAGTCTGAGTCTATTTTCTTTCTGTTGCGGTAATAGTTCTTGCACTTTTTGGAATTTCGATATGTTCAGCTCACGAGCCATTTTTCGGCCACTGCGACGCGGGTTTCGATCAAGTCTCTTCTTCTCTTCTTCGATCTCGCTACCAGTACCAGTATCACAGTAACGAGCGATAGTACGAGACACAAACGATTTATTTACATTTAAATGCTGGAGTGCTCTAACAATAGCCACTTGTGGTTTTCCAGCCAAATATGAAGAAATCACACTATCACACTTGAAGTCCATCACGAATATTTTTTTTTTGGAAAATTCTCACCAAGATGCTTTTGTATGCTTGTAAACAATATAATGAGCTGTCACTGGAATAATTTTAACAGCTGTCGGGCGAGTGGCTTAGACATGACAGCAGTCTGAAGTTGGTTGCATTTTGGAATATCCATAAAGCTCCTAAACGCGAAATTAACATTCGATTCCATGTAGACTTCGTACATCTCAATATTTCTATCAACACAAGATCCGTTATAAAGATAGTAGAGATCGGATAATTTGTTCTGGTACCTCCCCCCGAAATATGCATCCGGTTCTCTTCATATTTCACACATCCCATTATTTCTACTAACTCGAGATCTGCTGTGAAGATGGGATGTATCGGTCCACTCTTCTGGTACTTCCCCCACAAAGGGTCAAAATTTTGAATATACAGGATGAGATAAAAAAAACTGCAGCAAAGTCGAACTCCATAATTTTTGAATTTTTTCTTAAATTTTATTGAATGAAAGCAAAAAAATGTTGGAATAAATTTAGATTTGTTCGAATTGGTCACCTTTGACACGAATTATGGCCTTCAAACGGCCAATGAAACCGTGACACGCTGCCCGAATGCTGCTCTGCGGTATTTTGGCTCATTCCCGGCGAAGCGTTTGCTGGAGTTGATCGACACTTTGGCATTTTTTAGTGACAACCTTGCTTTTCAAAATACTTCAGACGGATTGGTATCGGGAGATTTTGGTGGCCATTGTGCGCTGGAAATAAAGCAGGGAACCTCATTTTCTAAGTATTCTTGGGTGGCGCGTGTTAAGTGCGATGGTGAGTCCTGTTGGAATGTCCAAGGTCTGCGGCCAAAATGTTTGCGTGCCCAAGGCTTTAATACACCCTCCAGAATATTTTCGAGATAATATTCGGCATTTATCTTGATCCATGGTCGATTTATACGAGCGGAGAGCGACCATATTTTCGCGTTAATATTCGGTATTATCTTGATGATGCTTGTTATGGCGGCCCACACCATCACCATGGCTGGCGCTTGAGTTCTGGTGACCAACCGAAGGTGCACATTTTCAGCTGACCTCTTTGGCGATGATGCTGAGTCCTGTTGGAATGTCCAAGGTCTGCGGTCAAAATGCTTGCGTGCTCTAGGCTTTAATACACCCTCCAGAATATTTTCGTGATAATAGTCGGCATTTATTCTGATGCCACGGTCGATTAATACGAGCTGAGAGAGACCATCGGCTGTTATGGCGGCACACACCATCACCATGGCCGGTTCTTGACTTCTGGTGGCCAACCGAAGGTGCACATTTTCAGCTGACCTCTTTGGCAAGTAAAACACGACTGCTGGACAACAAATGTTTTCTCATCGGAAAAAAACCAAATTCGGCAGTTCACCACTTTCGGCCAAGCGAAGCAACTCTTTAGCTCTTTTGATTCTGAGTCCAATTTCTTTCTGTTGCGGTCTAAGTTCTTGCACTTTTTGGAATTTCAATGGCTTTACTCCGAGCTCATTTTTCAATATTTGCCGAATGGAATATTGCGATATGTTCAGCTCACGAGCCATTTTTCGGCCACTGCAACGCGGGTTTCGATTAAGTCGCTTCTTTACTTTTCGAACTATTTCAGCTGATGTTGCTGTTTTCTTCCGTCCACTTCCTTGACGTCGGGCTACGCTACCAGTATCACGGTAACGAGCGATGGTACGAGACACAAAAAAATTTATTCACATTTAAATGCTGGAGTGCTCTAACGATAGCCACTTGTGGTTTTCCAGCCAAATATAAAGAAATCACACTATAACGCCTGAATTCCATCGCGAATAACTTTTTTTCTGGGAAGTTCTCATCAAAATACTTTTGTTCGCTTGTAAACAATATAATGAGCTGTCACTGGAATAATTTTAACAGCTGTCGGGCGAGTAGCTTAGAAATGACAACAGTCTGAAATTGGTTGCTGTTTTTTCATCTCACCCTGTATTTAAATTTTGCTAAACATGTGACCAGAATCTGCAGGAATCTACTACCTATGAATTTTTTTTTCAATATCGTGATAGCAAAAACCTTAAACATTCTTGAATTTCTGGAACAGAGCAAAAGTCAACTGTTTTTTAAATTATATTTTTCCCATGAAAATACGGCAATCCGTGATCGAAAGAGTACATATGTACTACATTCATGTATTTTATAACTGAAAATTTGACATTACATACATTAACATAGCACCTTCAAGAGAGTATCACATCTTTATGATATCACTGCATGTTAGAAAAAGACAACTATAGTTTTATTTGAAACATGTCAGACGACAGGTTTTTCCATATGTAATGTCAAATTTGGACGCCATTTCAGCTGTGAAATACATGAGCAAAGAACATACGTAATTTTTCGATCACAGTGAGCCCTGCTCATTTATTAGAAAAAAAATATAATTTAATCAAAAGTGTTGTTTGTTTGTTGTGTAAAAATAAAAAAAAAAAATAAATTTGCGGTAAAATTCCATTTATAAAAAATATTAATTGTTTATAAAACACAATAAAATCTAAACGCGATCAAAAGGAAACAAAGAAAAAAACATATGCAAGTGTGTGAAAGCAACAATTATGAATCATATGTAAAATGCAAAGTTGACATACACACGGAAATACATATACATGGTAAAAGTGACAACACATTGGTACATATGTAAAACCCATTTTGTCTGATAACGACTTAACGCACTCAATTTGTCTGAACATTTACCGCAAAGTGAATAAACTCAAATCAAAATTGCTTACTTAAAGAAATACGATAAACAAAATACAATGGATATCGAAAATACAAAGGTATGAGGTATATTCAGGCAGTTGTTTAATGTAATAAATAATTATGATGTTATTTTTCAGTTGGAATGGACAAAAGAAGCAGTTCTGGACATGATTTACTTGTGGCAATCTTACGAGTGTCTCTACAATCCAAAGAATAAATTTTACCACAACAAACATTCCAGATATTCGGCTTTCAGTGCGATTGCAGATAAATTGAAAATATACAACGATACTATTGGACCTAATGATGTAAAGGTATGTGTGGCACAAGTCAAAGAATGCATTTGGTGGATTTTAAAGAGTTGTTACTTGAAATCGGCGAGAAAGAGGAGGCTAATTCAAAATCCAAAAACCGTTAAGACAGAGATTTGATTTTTGACTTAGCATCCGATGAAGAAAAATTGACACCAAACTGGTTGGGGGTTTTAGAAAAGTCTACCTTGAATATATAGTTATTCTTTTAGGATATTGACTCAATGCGAATAAGCCACACGCCAATACTTAAGTTTATTGGGGTTTGATGTATCTACAGGGTGTGATAAAAAATCTGCGACATAGTCAAATGCCATCATTTTTACATTTTTTTTTTTTAAATTTTATTCAACGAAAGCAAAAAATGTGAAATAGCACCAAATTTTAGAATAAGTTTAGATCTGTTCGAATTGGTCACCTTTGGCACGAATTATGACCTTCAAACGGCCAATGAAACCGTCACACGCTGTCCGAGTGCTGCTCTGCGGTATTTTGGTCCATTCCCGGCGAAGTGTAGGCTTGAGGTGATCGACACTTTGGTATTTTTTAGTGCTTTGCTTTCCAAAATACTCCAGACACAATAGTTCAACGGATTGGTGTCCGTAGATTTTGGTGGCCATTGTGTGCTGGATATGAAGCGAGGGACCTCATTTTGTAACCATTCTTGGGTGGCGCGTGCTGAGTCCTGTTGGTCTCCGGCCAAAATGTTTGCGTGTCCAAGGCTTTAATACACCCTCCAGAATATTTTCGCGATAATATTCGGCATTTATTCTGATTGCACGGTCGATTAATACGAGTGGAGAGCGACCATCGGCTGTTATGGCGGCCCACACCATCCATCACGAACAACTTTTTTTTCGGGAAAATTCTCACCAAAATGCTTTCCTTCTTCTTCTTCTCCTTCAAACATATGTTACCATATGTCAATTTCACCGTGTTTCGGGGTGGAGTTTTAAAGTGACATGAGACGCTAGGTCTATGTTGTCACTTTCCAAAATGCTTTTGTACGCTTGTAAACAATAAAATGAGCGGTCACTGGAATAATTTTAACAGCTGTCGGATTTATGGCTTAGAAATGATAGCAGTCTGAAGTTGGTTGCAGTTTTTTCATCTCACCCTATATTATCCTATTTTAGATACAATCTTGTGGAATAACCCAAAAATCCCATCCTTGTTTATTAGGGGGTTTCCCCAATATAAAAAATAAACGTAAACCAATTACAATTAATCCGTTTTTCCCCACACAGAATAAAATGCAGTACTTACGTGGACAGTATACCCGAGAGCTAGCCAAAAGTAAGGAGATGAAAAGATTTGGCTCAGAAGATGCGTATGTCCCCAATGCGTATTGGTTTAGCGAGATGTCTTTTTTGCAAGACTTTGTCAAAAGTAGAAAAGATATGTACAATTTTTATGTATGTATTTATTTAAGCCTATTTAATAAAAATAAAATGCATTACATCTCTTAACATCTATAGGAACAAAACACTTCACAGCTTGAGGACTCGTGTGAGTCGTCGCAACACGCTGATAATGATGTATATCCCTCAACTCAACCTGCAAAAAGAATTAAACTGGAAGATACCATAGCAGAGCCAAATCACAACATTAGTAAAGAAGACGATGTACTTGAGGCGGCGGTAAATATATTAAACGATTTGAAAACTGACAATAGTTCGGTTAGCCATGACAGAAATGAGGCCTTTTGTAATTTTATAAAAGCAGAACTGGCATCAATAAAAAGTGAAAATATTAGGGATGAATTTATAGAGACCATTACGCTATCGCTTTTCGAAGCAAAAAGAAAACAGCGGCAGCTGTTGAAAAAAATGGACGATTCTGATATTTCTTCGGCATAATTATTTCGGTAATACCCTTTAAATGTTTCAAAATAAGTACAAAATTGTTTTTAACTCTTGGAAATTACTGGTGTAAAAGTTGTTAGATTTCCATAACTGTTTCCATGCTCCGGCATTTTTATATGTTTTTTTTTTAATAAAAAACTTGTAAAAATTATAAAATTTTTAAAGGAAGAAATAGATATGTGTGTAGCTCTTTCAAGACCCTTTTGACATTAATGTTTTTATTCTAGTTGATACTGAAGACCCAATACATGCATATTTATGGCCTTCCATTTTGAATTGAAACTTTAGAATGGAATTTTTATACTAGTAATTTATGATGTATATGTTTTAATATACAAAAAGAATTTCATATTATTTTATTAACAAACCTATTGTATAAGTATACATATGTGCTTATAATTATAAATAAATATAATTACATTTCATAAATAACATTGTAAGTACTTACAATTACTTCATACCTTTTATAATAAACATTGTAAAAATAAAGTTATTATCTAATCTTAGTTAAAATTCATTGTATTTGTTTTATTCTAATAATTAAAAAAAACTCTTTCCCACTCCAACATAAGAAGGAGTAATAACTAACCATCCTCGATATCACATTAAATAAAAGCTGTAATTATTGTACTGTATCATTCTGTTTATTGAAATATTCAGCAAACGTGTTGCGCACCATTCTCCCCTCATCCCTTGAACGATTACTTTGGCATCTCTGAAGATCAGTCAGGCTTACTTCTTCACGCCAGCTCTCAATGAGCTGTGAATCCAACCCATCACGTTGCAGAATAAAATTGTGTAAAGCGCACGATGCCAATACCAATTTTTCTACTCTGTCAATAGGCAAGTCTAATTCTTTTTGAATTATTTGAAATTTATTTGCCAACATTCCTATAGCGTTTTCAGCCACACTTCGTGCACGGTTTAATCTATTATTAAATATTTTATTGGCATTTGATAACCTCTTCTCATACGGTTTCAGTACCCTTGGCGATAACTGGAAAGCATCATCCGCAACGAAAACAAAAGGAACTTTCTTTTTGCTGCCTTCCAAATAATCATCAGGTGGAAAATCATAGATGTTTTTCGGTATCTCATCACAAAATGACTCCGTGAAAATGGCAGTATCATTTGCCCTTTCGTTGGAAGCAATATTTATGTGCAAAAAATTGTAATTTGCGTCCACAACAGCCGTGAATATTACACTATGGAATCCCCTGTAATTGTAATATAATGATCCGTAGTCAGCTTTGTTCTTGATTGCAATATGTTTGCCATCTTGAAATGGATGAAAATTAATTAGAAACTAATATATATTGTTAATACATTTCAATATTACCTAAGGCACCCAAACAAAAGGGAAAATTCCATTTCTTCTCAAAATCATTGGCTATTATTTTCCATTCGTCTGCAGTGCGCGGTACCTTAATAAGTTATTATTGTAATCATCGGATTTTTAAGACTTGCAGATACATACCTTAAAGAATTCGTCTTTTAACACCCAATAAAGAGCATTAATAGTTTCCGGAACAATTATAGAAATAGCAGCCTTGGAGATGCGAAATCCATAGGCCAATTGTGTGTAGTTTTCTCCAGTTGCTAAATGCCGTATGGTCAAAAGCAATCTGAATGAATGAACGAAGATATGTGTCAATAGCTAGCAATATTATTTCCAAATGCAGATACCTTACCTTGCACTGCTCGAGATCGATTCCCGCATTAAAGTATTTTGCTTGGTAAGAGTGGCAACGCTGTGCTGTGGTAGAAGTGCAAAAAGCAACCTCTAAATTAAAAATCGTAAAAAATAAACTTTTAAATGAAAGAGTAAACTGATTGTGCTTAAATTGTGTGGAAAAGTGACTCTTGCATTACGGGCATATGAAGTTTTGATGTGACGCCGCCTATTTTTATCAATAGCAGATCAAATTATTTTTGCTTTTTGCAAATCGCTTTTTGTGCATTTTGTTGTTGTGATGGTGTCGTCGTATATTATACGGTAGTTGTTGTTGCTGACAACCTGTAGTGCTGTTTTTGAAGCCGTCAATTCGAATTAAAATTATACGCCGTTTAAATTTTGGTTACGCCGTTAAATTGACGTCGATAACTTTTTACGCCGTTAATTTCTTACGCCGTTAATTTTTGGTAAGACTAACTGCGTCTTTGTTTGTTATTTTGCCGTCAAAATCCATCAAGCTACCAAAAGATAAACAATACATACCGGCAAAACGTTTAAAAATAACATCAATACCTGCAAGCTGAGGATAATAATTTTTTTTACTTGGAGCTATTTTCTGCGTTTACAAATCCACAAATAATTTTTGGTATCGCTTTATTATTTGCACATTCTTCTGCCAAACTAAATATTTGCAAATTTGTTTTCCCAAATGGGCCACCCTTGTGGAATATGCAGTGCTGAAACAACAGACACAAATTGCGTACTCTGTTGCAAATGTAACATATGGTTTCATGCAGACTGTGAAAACATTTCGAAGACTGTTTTTAGTATGCTGTCCAAAAATAAAAGCCTGGAATATAAATGTGTAAACTGTGTGGAAAATCCTGCTGATAACTCTGATGATGCATTCAAGAACGAAATGAGAGCACAGTTTGCTAATTTAAGAGCATCTATAAATTCACTTGCCAGTGACATGAGTGTTGTTAGACAAGATCAGAGTGAAATTAAAAGCAAGTTTGAGTGCCTTGCGACTGAAATACGATCCGATTTAACAAATGGTCTCGAAGAGATGAGGGTTGAGGTCCAGAAGTGCAAAGATCTTGTTGACTCTCATGATGCAGTTTATAAAAATAAATTCATGGAACTTGAGCTCCAAAATCATTGCCTTCAACACAGATTAAACCGAGCTGACATTATTGTTTCTGGACTTCCTGGTGATCTTGAAAAATTAAATGATGTTGCTGTTAACATTTGTAGTTTGCTCAAGGTGGATATTGCTCCGAACCTTATTGATAGTGCTTTGTATATCAGGAAGCGTCGTTCAATCTTAGTTAAATTTAAGAACATTGTACAGCGAGATGAGGTGATGCGTGTTTACTACAAGTCAAAGTCAATTAAAGTATCCGATGTGATTGGTGGATCTGATGGCTCCCGTGTTTATCTTAATGATAATTATTCTACTTTGGCCAATAAAATTTGGAAAATTTGTATAAAACTAAAAAGAGAAAATAAAATTACTGGTTTTAGCCTTATAAATCGAGAAATACTTACAGTAAAATTTATAATGCCAAATAATGTTTCAAAAATTTTGAATTTTCGTGAATGTGTTGAATTCTTCAAAAGTAATCAATGTAATCTATAACCTTGCTTTTTATTTTTTTATCTCAAACTTTTTTGAATTAATTGTTATCATGGTTAATACAATTAACTGTCTTTATTAAGTGGTTATACCACAGTTAATGAATTAAATTTTTTCACATTGAAAATATTTTATAAAATCCTAAATATTTTTTATATAGTTTTTATAACTTGGTTCCCCCAAATATATGAATATTGCTGCCTTTTTGATGAGTTATAATATTAATCTGGGCCCTGTAGCAACTGATAATACTATACTGAAAAACTTTACTTCTTCTTTTTGTCGGAATCTTAATATTGGTCATGTAAATGCACAAAGTTTGTGCCCTTCAACCTCCAATTCTAAGTTGGAAGAGTTTAAAAATATTTTTGATGATTGTGGATTGGATATTTTGGGAATATCTGAGACTTGGTTTAAACCTAATATTTACTCAAGTTTGTTGGATCTCGTAAATTATAACCTAATTAGAAATGATCGTTGTTCTCTTAGAGGTGGCGGTGTATGCTTATATATATTAAGGAATTTACGTCATAGGGTGATTTTTAGGGGTATGCAGTATGGTGTTTGTGAGTCCTTGTTTGTGGAAATTTTTGGGGTTGAATCTTCATTTATTTTAGGAATTGTTTATTTGCCAACTGGAGCTATCGATGTTTTTGAGGATATGCATTCGGATATCTTTGACAAGTTCTCAAATATTGTTGTAATGGGAGACTTTAATTATAACTTATTCGATGCTAATAAATCCAATAATTTCCGCTCGCTGGTGAATAGATGTGGTCTTCATTACATTCATAATTCGTTACCAACGCATATAAATCATCCCACGAAAACAACTTCGTTGTTAGATTTGTTTCTTACAAGTCAGCCTTCTTATGTTGCCCACAAAAGTCAGATTCAATACCCATTTTTTTCCTCAAACCACAGTCTTATATTACTCTCTCTTCATTTTAAATGTCAACCGGGGGAAGAATGGATTGAATTTAAAGATTACAACAAGTTTAAAATTGATGATTACTTAGAGGTAGTAAATGAATTTGATTTGCGTTTGATTTATGATGTTCATGATATTGATTGCAAGTTATCAATTTTAAATAACCTTATTAATTTACTCCACTCTTATGTTCCAACTGCACGAATTAAAGCAAATTCAAATCATCAGTCTTGGATGAATTCCCAAGATATAATACAGGCGAGGATTGAAAGAGATAGAGCATATTCTGTTTTCCTTAGAAATCCAATAGATGAGAATTGGAAGACATATAAGCGTTTAAGAAATAGAACAAAAGGAATTATAAGAAAAGTGCGGTTTCAATTTGGAAAAAGTTATTTTGCAAATGTAAATGGTTCTCAAATGTGGAAAAAAGTCCGTCGACTAGGTTGTATTGGTCGTGAGAACATTGAAATTGATGTGAATGAAGTTGAGACTTTAGCGAATAACTTCCTGAGTAATATGTGTCCATCTGATAATTTGTCTTTTGATTTTGATAGTTTTGTTGATGACGCCGATTCGTTTTCTTTTCATCCAATTACTGAGTATGAACTCTTATCTTCTCTTAATTCCATTAAATCAAACTCGCTAGGATATGATTCAATACCAATCAAATTCATTAAACAGATTTTTCCAGCAATATCTAGTTCCTTAATGCATATATTAAATACTGTTCTAACCGTCTCTAGTTTTCCAGATGCTTGGAAACTTGGAAAAATAATCCCCATACCCAAGGATTGTCATAACTCAATTGGGAGTTTTAGGCCGATTTCCATATTACCTTCTGTTTCCAAAATCCTTGAAAATGTGATGAAGGAGCAAATTCTGGAGCATTATCGTCAAATCTCATTTTTTAGCCCATTTCAGTTTGCTTTTCGAAAAAACCATAATACAACATCAGCTTTGCTTTCAATTACTGATTCTATTAGAAGACATTTAAACGTTCATCCTAGCTGTTTGCTTGTTTCGTTGGATGTAACTAAGGCATTTGATCGAGTTAATCACCGCATCTTACTTGAAAAACTTCGTGACCACTGTAAGTTTTCTAAAACAGCGTGTCGGTTAATTTATTCATATCTTTCTGATCGAAGACAGTATGTTTCTTCTAATAATATCAAATCTTCTATTGGCTTTGTGACGTCTGGTGTGCCTCAGGGATCTATTCTAGGCCCTATTCTCTTTCTTTCTTACGTTAATGATATAATTGCTGCCTTAGAAAGTCGGATCTGTGAACCTTATGTTTTTGCGGATGACATCTTCCTTTTATTTAAGTCGTATGACTCGGATCTTGAAATAAATTCCCATCTCCATCATGTTTCTAACTTGCTGTCACTAAATAAGTTGGATATAAATCCTCTTAAAACAAAGGCAATGCTGTTGCATACACGTAGACATGGTTCTTCTTGTCCTAATATTAAAATTGGTTCCACACTTATTCAAACGGTGGAGTCTATGAAATGTCTTGGCATTAATGTTGATTCTAAGTTGGATTTCAGTGACCATATTGATGATATATCAAGAAAAGTGTGTCTTATCTTGAGAAGACTTTATAGCCTAAAAGAGTATACACCAATTGCTGTGAGAAAACAATTAGCACATTCGTTATTGATGTCCTTGGTTAACTACGGAATTGAAGTTTACTCTGGAACTTGGGGATATAATTTGAATATAATTGAACGGTTTGTTCGAAGAATTGTTAGATATGTTTACCAAATTCGTGTTTACGATCACGTACGTACGCTGGAGGCAACGGAAGATTTCCTTGGATGTACTTTTCCAAATTTTGTAAAGCAAAGGATTGTTTTGCATTTCTACAAACTTGTTAAATATCAGCAACCTGAAATACTAGTAACTCAGTTTTCATTTATTAATTCAGCGCGTAACACACAAATTGATGTTCCCTTAGTAAATAATGCCTTTTTCGAACACTCATTCTTTGTGCGGGTCTACAGAGTATGGAACCCTTTACCAACTCCTTTGAGAAGGTTCTCGTTTTCCTACTTCACCTTCAAAAAAAAGTTGAAAAGTTTTGTAAATAGTGGACATAATTTATAAGTCTTTTTGTTTTCATTTACATATGTCTTTGCTATAGGACCTAAATCTTGTAACATTTATTTAACTTTCAATATTCATATGGCTGGGGAGCCGTTTATTCTTGTTCATTGAATTTTTTAGCTATTAAAAGTAAACAAACTGTTTTTGTATTATTATGATAATTACTACCACAGTATTAGCATTTATTTTTATAGTAATCTCCAATACATGTATAATTGGCTAGGAAGCTTTCTATGTATTGATTTTTTGAAATAAATAAATAAATAAATAAATAATTATAGGGGACACTTTTTCCAGTAATTCGGAGAAGGTCGGCCATGTCATTCTTGCGAAATCGTTAAACGCATCCGGGTCTTCCAAACGCATTTCGTCAATAACCATTGAAGCGAGCCCCAGTCCATAATCCCTTTGTAGAAGCCAATCATGACTCCATACTTTGCGAATCCTTTTCATTTTAATTTTCGGTTGTTTTCTTCTTTTTTTTAAAACAGATATTATTGCAATTATGCTGGATACAACTTTTATTTTTTTGTCGGTTGTTAATTTCATTTTTCTTAAGCAAATTGATGTTTGTAAATCTATTTACTTGTTGTTCAAACAGAATAAAATTGTTTGGATTTGCCAATCCAAATTTTATAACGGCGTCAGAGTTCTTTAAGTGACAAAGCTGCAGCTGTTGTGTAACAACGCCCCTTGTTTCCTTTCACAGAAGGCCGGTTAGAGTGTAAAACTAAGCCAGATTAAAGACAATCAAATGCTACTTCTGGTAATGCGTTGAAAGAAACAATTCTATATAAATTATTGAAATATTATTGGCAGCTTAATATTATTATTCTCCATGTTGGACCGAAATTCCACCGCCATCATGCAAAAGATCCCCACGCCGCCGATTACTAGTACTTGGTAATAAGCCGGAAAATCATGCGGCTCTGTTGTCTGGTGAAACCCAGTTGTTTGGAACGCGTTTATATTTGCTTTGTTTGTAGTAGATTCATTCGCGTAAATAAATAAAAAATCAATGCCCTTTCAAATTTAAAAAAGTAAAATATATTTGTGTCCGTGTCCCCCTATTATGAATGATTTGGATTTCTCCCTTACACGCCGCTTACTTCTGATTGTTATAGTTTTGGTCATTATATTGTTTATAAAACAAAAATTGTCGGAGTACGAATAAAGAGTTTCGAAGAAACATTGACTGGATTGATTGGAGACTGGGACAAATATGACAAGCGCTAGCAAAAGACGTGTTTCCTATTTTTATAATCCCGATGTGGGAAATTTCCACTATGGCCCAGGACATCCAATGAAACCACATCGACTCTCGGTGACACATAGTTTGGTTATGAACTACGGGCTGCACAAGAAAATGAAAATATATCGACCCTACAAGTAAGTGTGGAATAAGATTTCAGGAAAATCATTTCCAATAAATATAAATATATACCGGATAGTTGTTAGAAGAAACCCAGTTTCTAAATAAAAATATTGATTTTCCCAAAACGCTTTCTTTGTTATACAAATTTCCATTTTTTTTTTTCATTTTTAGGGCCAGTGCACAGGACATGTTAAGATTCCACAGTGAGGAGTATATAGAATTCTTACAACAGGTTACGCCTCAAAATATCCACTGTAATTGTAAGTATTGTTGCATTATTGATTGAAACTTTCTTTTTACCGAAAATATATTTCCAGCGGTTGGCTACACGAAATACTTGTCTCACTTTAGTGTGGGCGAAGACTGTCCCGTGTTCGATGGTCTCTTCGAGTTCTGTTCAATGTACACGGGTGCATCCTTAGAGGGTGCCCAGAAACTTAATCACAATCATAGCGACATTTGCATCAACTGGTCGGGCGGTTTGCATCACGCCAAGAAATTTGAAGCCTCAGGATTCTGTTATGTTAATGATATAGTAATTGGAATATTGGAACTTCTAAAGTATAATCCACGTGTTCTTTACATTGACATAGATGTACATCACGGCGATGGAGTACAAGAGGCGTTCTACCTCACCGATCGTGTAATGACTGTTTCATTCCATAAATATGGCAACTATTTCTTTCCCGGAACGGGAGATATGTACGAAATTGGTTCCGAATCAGGACGATATTATAGTGTAAATGTGCCCCTGAAAGAGGGAATAGACGATCAAAGCTATTTTCAGGTGTTCAAACCAATTATATCCGCAGTTATGGATTTCTATAGACCCACCGCAATTGTTTTACAATGTGGCGCTGATTCATTGGCTGGGGATCGTTTAGGTTGTTTCTCTTTAAGTACACGGGGACATGGAGCATGTGTTGAATTTGTCAAGACATTTAATGTTCCAACTTTGGTTGTTGGTGGTGGCGGCTATACACTTCGCAACGTTGCCCGGTGTTGGACGCATGAAACCTCATTGTTGGTAGACGAACCGATAAGCAACGAATTACCCATGACAGAATATTTGGAATTCTTTGCACCAGACTTTTCATTGCATCCGGATGTGAATTCCCGACAAGAAAATGCAAATTCCAAACAATACTTGGAGGCGATTGTAAAACATGTTTATGAAAATCTTAAAATGTGTCAAAATTCCCCAAGTGTACAAATGATTCAGGTACCGCCCGATGTAGTCGATATGGAGGAGTTGCGCAACATAAAAGAAGAGAAAGAAGATCCTGATGTTCGGACAACCCAAGCAGAGGAAGATAAAATGGTTGAACCTAAAAATGAATTCTATGATGGTGATCAGGATCAAGATCGTGGAGAGAGCAATGCAGACAGTTAAGTAAATATGTAATTTCTAGTTTAATGTTTACGTTAAGAGTTAAAAACTTCGGCCGTAATTGATGTCTTATAATTTATTGATAAGAAAAAAATATATACATATACAAATAATAAAAAATCTTTAAAACAGATATTCTTATTTTAAGACATACATATATTTTAGCCAATGGGTATAGTAATGAGTGGGATATAAAAATGTATTATCAGAGAAATCATTTTCTTAGCTATTAAATATTTCTCCTTTACGGATTCGATAATCAGCCCTTGGACTTGTTTAAAAAGCATGTCATACGAGGTATTTCAATAAACAATTCACCATCCGGTTGTTGTGTTGGCCAAACGACGCATGCGTCTGGTGTTTCTGTCTTGATCGCGTATCTTCTTTTCCATCTCGGCATCTGTCAATGTCTCCAGGAATGGTGCCCAAGCATCGGCATCACTTGGATTACGGAAGGGTACATCAATGGTAGAGAGCGGGGCCTCGCTAAAGGCATATGTGCGACAATGCCAGGACAATTGACCACGAATACTATATGCAATTGCAGTGACGAATTCTCCACCCAGCCCTAGCTCGGCACACAACTTGATGGCAAATTCCTCAGGATTGTTATTTTTCTCGGACATATCCCACTCAACTTGATCAACTAGAGATGTGTTACCAACATGTATGTTAAGTTTAACAATAACTCGTTGATCTGAACCTTCTTCAATGATGGGTGGATCACTGGGAAATGCCTCGATCTGTTGTCGTATGGCCTGAGAAATAGCCGGTACAAATGGTATGGGATTTAAATCCAAATCATCGCACAACACTTCAGCAAATTGTTCGGGCGTAATCATACTTTCATTTTTATTCCACGTAAATGTGTCACGAAGCTTTTGCCCTTCCAATTCCATGTCCAGACGAATGGGAACCAAACATTCCTTCTGGGCGGCATTTTCCAAATTGGCGGTGGGATCGGTGTCGTCAAAGCATATTGGGAATGTTCGAATCTTCTTGGTGTGGACCCGATTACGATTTATCGGTGTTGCCTGGGGAACAGCATCCAAGTGAGATGAGTTTGGCATAGTGGGTACATATTGTGGTTGTTTCTTGGATTTACTTTCACGGGGCAATGGTGCATCAGATGTGTTGACGGAAATAGCACGATACCTAAAAAAGTTGATTTTAGTGTGACACATAAGACATTGTAAATAGTTACTTACTTTTCATCATTTCCCGCAATAATGTCATCTACCTCGCATGCCCTCAGCAATGAAACAGAGCTTGCCAAGATATGAGGACTCAATCCTGAATCTGCCAGTCTTTTGCGTTCCTCATTTGACAAAACAATACGAGTCATGCCGGGATATTTTTTGTATAGAATACCACGAAATAGCCTCAAGTAATTTCCGACTTCAGAACCGACATAATAGTATTCTCCACCCTCCTCCAGCTGAAAAGCCACTGGTTTATCACCGTATGTTTGTACAGACATTTTTATTTAAATTTATTCAGTAAAACTTTAATTTCAAGATTTTTTTTAGTTATTTGTGTCTCAGCTTGCTCAATTTTGTTTACGGCGTCTTTATGTATCCTGCTTTTGTCGAAACACCAAGCCGTCTTCGAAAATAGCGGCGTTGAGTAAATGTAAACACTTACACCGGTAAGGGGCTTTGAACTTTGGCGATATCGTCGGCGTCAGTGGCAATCAGCTGTTGGTGTTATTTAATGTGTTCGCCATAATCGTGTTTAGGCCAATTCTTTTTTATTTTAATAAAATATTAAATTAAACCTGGTAAAATGTCGATGCTAAGATCTTCAGCAACATTACTTAATCTAAGCCGAGCTTTAATTCCAAGGCAAAACTTGAGTAAGTGGTTTTAAAATATTGTTTTTGTTTTTTCCCCCAACTAATACCGGTTATAGTTTCCAGCCGACCAATTAAACGATGGGTTGCTCCCACATTGCGTGAACTAAACAGAAGAGCAAAGAAAATTGGACCCCAACAGCCACAGCCAAGATCTGGATTTGTTGAGTGGAACTACAGGGCAGAACTGTTTGCCTTTGGAAAGCGTCTGCAAGAGGAGTTCCAGTTGCCTTTGTTACAAACTGCATTCACCCAGCAATCTTACATTGCCCAGGAAGAAATGAAACAGAAGGAACTGGGAATTGAAAATGTCGATATAAAAATGTCCCATAACCAAGAGCTATCGGAACGTGGTGAACACATTATTAAAGAATATGTAGATGCTTTTATTGGTTTCTCCCTACCAAAAGTACCTGCTGAGGGCAAGCAAGCAATAGCATCATACTTGATGAGAAATGAGATATTGGCTGATGTAGCTTTCCACTTGGGTATGCAAGAATTACTTTAGATGCTGAATATCCACCATCTGTGAGTTCCATGTCCAGGTCTCTTAAGGCTGTTGTGGGCGCATTAGAACAATCATCTGGCATGGAAAGGGCATTTTTATTTGTTAGAGATTTTGTGTGTACCCAACTAAATCAAAAGGATATGCTGGATCTATGGAGCATAGAAAATCCAGAAGATTTGTTGAAACAACAATGTGAGCAAAGGAGATTGCCAGCTCCTGAGCCACGCCTCTTGGGGGATTGTGGTAAAAATACTGTATTGGCTGCTTATCACGTGGGTTTGTACTGCAATAAAAACCTAATTGGCAAGGGTTTTGGCGAAGATATACAAACAGCGGTGAAAACTGCATCCCTGGATGCCCTGCAAACAATGTTTGGCATTCACGATAATATGAAACCTTTCGATTTTAAAATACAAGTTCAAAGTAAAACTGCGAAAATTAATCAATAAATTGTTGTTGTTTAGAAATTTAAAAAGAGTTGTAGTACTTTACTTATTTTGGGAGTGGTTAGAAAAAATTTCTGTTTTGCGGGATGAAATCGAATTTTCCTCTGTAAATTTTATAGAAATAAGGAACAATGAAATATATTATGCCATTATAAATGGACTATTTATAGACCTGAGCGGCAAGACTTGTAACAATGGCAAGTGTTTTGAGTCAAAACCCTGTCTTTAATTTTTACTTCTCTATTGTTTTTTATTTAATTTACATTTCAATTAGCTACTTAAAATGTGTAGAACTTATTACGTTAACACACTACAAGCTTATATTCAGCAATCACACATTTCAACTATTTTAAGCATTGTCATTGGGGCATATCTTTCTTTGTAAATTGTCAAGACTTCTTGAACATTAAAACCATCAACCATTTATATAGCATTTTTGTTTATTCCTCGGGATTTTTCGTTTGTCCTGAGTTGGCGTTTGTCGGTTCTTCGGGTTTACTTTCAAGAGAAAAGGGTGGTATTTTACAGTCGAACATGTGGCCATCTTCGCGCTCTAGACGAAATGTGCCCCACATATGGCCGCTGGGAGCTTGTAGACTAACGTGGCTGCTATACTGGAAGGCTGGGAGGCGTGGGCTTAATATAGGCTCTTGACCTACAACACCACGACCCCGTACCGTTTCCAATGTGCCTGAGAGAGAAAATATACGCCAGTGTCGTTCGCGTAACTGCACAGTCATCATGCCAAGATTTTCCAAACGAATCGAATAACGCCACTGGAAAATATTTACAAAATAAAATAGAATTACCATAACTTTTGTAAAATATTATTTCTTCTCACCCAATAAACCGAAGAAGCCGGAGTTTCACGACAGCCCATATAGAATGGTATCACAGTTACACGTATATTCTCGGTGGTCTCCTTATGTACATCACTCAATTCCAACCAAGGATGATTTTTCTCTTGCCACGTCTTAAGGGTGTCTTTAGCTTCAAATGGGGGGTCCTTGTCGGGTGCATAGCCCAGGAACTTTTCGAAAAGTTCATGCTGCAATGGAGTTTTCTCCGTAGTAGAATAGGGCATAATATCATCGTGAGAAACATAATCTAGGCCAGGAATTGCGTATAGGCTACGATTTGAATCCTGATTGCCTAAAAAGGTGACAGCCTCCGTTTGGGCCCTCTGGAAGAAAGACCAATATTAGCATTTAAAAACTGAAATGAAGGATCAAGATACTTGCAATATAAGGACAATCGCGAGAATCTATAAGGACTTGATAGAACGTTTGAACTTTTCCTTTGACTTCTTTGGTGCTTGATTCATTTGCATCTGCTGTATTTGAACTTGGAGTTTGTGTATTCGTATTTTCGGCAGACGGAGATTTTGCTGGATCGGAACTTTCCTCTAATGGGGATTTAGTGGCTACACAAAACATGAAAACCAATAAATAAATTTACATAGACCATACGTCGAGTTAACTTACATGCGCCTGCGGTCTCCACCTTGTCAGCAGCACCTGGCGTTTTTCCCCTCGCAACATTGGCTCCTCCAGCATTTGGAATATTTGTTGTAGTTTGTGTTGCTGCTGCTGCAGGGGTTTTCTGCTTGTTGGGATTGTGCAAATCACGATCATAAACTCTTGCCTTCCAAGGAAAAAGTACTACACCACGATAACCAAATATTTTGTGAAGGAATAATTGACCAGTTTCATATTTACTATCAGCTTTTGCAGGTTCCAAACGACCCACCTCGGCCAATCTGCAAAAATAACATAATTACATTGTTAATGTGTATATTCTAAAGCAGTTTGTTGTGTTTATTTGTTTGCGTTATGCAACTGAGTGCATGCATCGCCAGTTCTCTGCCCAGAACAAAAACAAACAATTGCATGTGAATGTGAAATTGTTTGTTAAGGGCGCCAAATTTCTAGAATGTATAATTCTATTTTAATTTTTGTTTGCAATTATACGTAATGGAAGGCCAAAAGAAAAAATCGTGCGCCTTTCTCCCAACCCACCTTGTTTGTGATGCTGGTTTCTTTAGAGTCCTCTTAACAATACAAATTGCCGGATTTAAAACACCAAAGGAAGTTGTTCTCGTTGCATGTTGTGTCCACAATATCTTCTGTAACACCCCCATTTACTGCGGTTATTGTACTTTATTCCGTGTAACTGCGAAATTTCGTTTTAGAAGCAGAGCACAAATGAATTTTTATTCGTCCTAAAATAAACCACAAAACGTCGTTATGGAATCAGATTGGCAAGAATTTACCAAACAAAACAATGCCAAGTTTGGTTACATACAAATGTAAGTTTAAATTACTTTC